CACCACACTATGATCACCATATCCATTGTATAATAACAGTATTCGCACCACACTATGATCACCATATCCATTGTATAATAACAGTATTCGCACCACACTATGATCACCATATACACTGTATTCTAACAGTATTCGCACCACACTATGATCACCATATACATTGTATAATAACAGTATTTGCACCACACTATGATCACCATATACACTGTATTCTAACAGTATTCGCACCACACTATGATCACCATATACATTGCCAAATGAGGGAAATGAAAATTTCAAACAGCGTTTAAAACTTGTCTGAATAATTTTTGAATGTCCAGTCTTCGTTATATGTGCAATTATATCGTTAGCAATTATTTTTAAATTCTATATTAATTCATGTTGTGAGTGAATTTGTTTGTTTGTACGCAACAACTCCTACAGTTTTAGAGCTAGGCGGAACAAACTTAACATGCAGTACCCACTATCAAGAGAGGTTAAAACGTCATCCAAGCACGAAGCAGGTCTAGAAGCAGATTTTCAGGATCCCGGATACGCCATGTTTTGATTTAGAGTTATAACGTAATAGTTCTAGAAGCACTAAATTGATATGTTAGTAATTCCCAAACTTGATTATAGGAAAGAAAATGTAATATGACAGCTTAGTTCAAGACACTCTTAGTTATTTGTAAAAGGATTCAACAAAACATGAACGAAACTCTAGACGTGTGATACAGTAATTCTATCCTGGTTTTGCATGTAAACTTGTTTCGCAATAGCATACCTCGCCCATCAATTGAATGTACAATTAAGTACCATGGAAACATGAAAATGATGCTTCTTAAATTGATCACTTAACATTAGTCAAACTCATAATCTAACAAATATAAAATGTTATTCACAGGAGCTTACTTTATATTCTTTCTTTCTTGTTAATTCCAAAACTTAAGTCCAAACTGCAACTTGAAAATTAATTTTATTTTAATATATATACACAAATGTACTAAGCATTACAAGGTTCAAAATATTACATCTTTTAAATTATATTTTTGATTTCAGTCGGTTGGTGTAGCTTTTGTAGCTTTAAGACTGGTATTTAGCCAGTAACAATACATGATACATAAAATATTAACATTTTTAATAAAGTCGTAATGTATATAAATCACACATCCCAGTAAAAATATTTCACACATTAATATAAATCACGATCATATATTATATAAATCCATAAACAATAAAAACCTATAAATAACAATCATTAAAACCTGTACATAAAATATAACTTAAAAACTTAGGAAATCCACGAGTTATTTAAATAAGATTAAAAAACTTCTATTTTTTTTCCATAAAATAACTTTCATAAAGTAATCATTTTTGTTAATTATCATAAAATCAAAATGGAAAACAAAAACAAAATACTTTAAATGGGTCATGGGTACTTTAGACACAGTTGTAAAAATGTTCTGAACATCTGTAGTCTGTCTTGGGTTTCTAACATGAAACTTACGTTGATTCATTCTAAATCATAACTTTTCAGTTTGGCCAACTTAACTTTCAGCAGTTATTGTACATTTTAATATATAAATAGAGTTCTTAGAACATCAAGACAAATATATTTTTTTTTAATTTTAAACTGAATAGTTCTGTCTGTATTTCTAATTTCATTACCTTCTTGTCTATTTTCAATATTATGTTTATAGCAAAGTTCAAGTTTATAGGTTATATATATAAGCTATTATAACATTAGTAATACCTATAACTCTTATTATAGGGGTAGATGTGCAGATAGCAGTTAATTAAAGTGTTTTTTTTATATATGTTTACTTATATATATTTCGACTTTGCTAAATATTATGTATTTTTTTAATTATGGTTAGTTGGAAGGACAGTGTTAAAGATACGAAAGCACTATGGAAAACCAAAATATAAATAAAAAAGATACAATATTTTGAACCTGCTGGTGCTTTGAATATTTATATATATTTATTATGCTCGAAAAGATCGCACCCTTATATATTTCATATTTTGGATATATACATATAAAGCTCTGTTTGATACAATACATCGTTACTGTCATTAGTACATTTCATTTAGGAAGAATCAAATTTTAACAATTCCTTAGAAGCAAAGTCGGTATTCTAACTTTGGTGGAGCTAGTGTTTGTTCTTGGAATTTCGCGCAAAGCTACACGAGGGCTATCTGCGCTAGCCGTCCCTAATTTAGCAGTGTAAGACTAGAGAGAAGGCAGCTAGTCATCACCACCCACCGCCAACTCTTGGACTACTCTTTTGCCAACGAATAGTGAGATTGACCGTAACATTATAACGCTCCCACGGCTGAAAGGGCGAGCATGTTTGATGGATTCGAACTCGCAACCCTAAGATTGCGAATCGAGCTCCCTAATCACCTGGTCATACCGGGCCTGGAGCTAGTGACTTCTTGATTATTCTATATTAACAATCCAGAATTCAGAACAATCCAGAGTTCCCCAAACAAGAACAATCAAAGCATGTTGTGCAAGAAGAAAGATTTTAGCTTAACATAACTACAGATACGTCATTATGAAGCGAGAGAAAATAGATTTGTTTTCGAACTCTATCTGCATTTGTGCAGTTTGAGTCAGCAAATATACTGTACAGAAAAGCTATGTTTTTTATTGTGTGTGTTTGATGTATTTCTAAAATGCCAAATGGTCATTCACTACGAGGCTGAATCAGGCTCACACGTATATATGTAGTACATACTACAAAGAAACGTGAGAGTTTTTCTTACTATTTTTGAGCTTTCTTTTCACTCACTATCGTAAAATGGGGCGAACAGTTGTTTCAAAATGTTCATAACTAATGTTTTTGACATTTTACACTTTAACTTAAGCCAGAAATCCTAAGTCTATCATTCACTGTCTTTAGTGGGGTGATTATTGTTTTTTGAACTGATTCTGGTAATAGCACGAATATTAAAATCAAACTGATTTAAATTGTTTTGTTTTTTAAGCTCAAAAGCTATACAATGAGCTACTACGCTATGCCCACCACAAGCATTGAGCATGACTTTTCTCGTTATAAGCTCTCAAGCTTTTCACCAAGCCATCGGAAGCCCTTTAAAGTTCTCATAATATCAAACTTATTTTGTCGTTTAACGTAGAGCGGAGGCGTAGTGGAGTGAATAATTTAAAATATATTATACTTCTCTCTGAAAGGCCATCACAGTTTCGACATGCATCGCAAATTAAATCGTTTTTGTCAAAGCAGCTACAACTCGACAAATCCCGCATCAGCTTTCACCTTGAATAAGTTCACATCATTTAAGTTTTTTGAAATTCACAGTAGGAAAGTTTAAGAAGTAAAACTTAGACATGACTAATTTCTCACTTACAGTGAACGTGTGCTTTAAAAAAAATGTTCTCCGTCTTATAAACATAAAAGCTAAGGTGAGCTTTAGAGCCTATTTTCAAACATAACATTCTTTATAAAAAGTTGAGAGAAACTAGAGTCGTCAGCTACACCGTAATCTTGACAAATATGCAAGTTTTTGTTCATATTTTTTCATAACTAGCTAAAACACATCGGTAAATTATTATAATTTCAGATAGTTTAGATCAGTGATTCTTTTGACTGACATGAAACATCTTTAATGACTTGAAACATGCGCCCGGTATCACATGTCGTGTAGTATGATTCATCTACATAACGTATATTTGCGTTCACTTTTACAAACGTTTTCCGATGTCAATATAATCTTTAGCCTTATAAAAATAAGATTCACTCGTACATGAAAGATAATGGCAAGCAAATGTCGCCACAAAACTTGGGAGAAAATAAAACTACTGTATGGTGCGTTGAAATTATGCGCTTGCGCAAAACGGATTTGTATCAATATGCCTATTGAGTGATTATCTGATTATCTCATAATTTCTAGGTTAGAGTATTCAAATAAGATTAAACTGAGTAGGACAGCTTTATAGTGATGTAACCACGACAATAACAGCTTGACAATGATGTACTCACAACAATACCAGCTTGACAATAATGTACTCAAAACATTACCAAATTGACAGTGATGTAATCACGACATTATCAGTTCGACAATGATGTACTCACAACAACAGCTTGACAATGATATATTCACAACAATACCAGCTTGACAATAATGTACTCAAAACATTACCAAATTGACAGTGATGTAATCACGACATTATCAGTTCGACAATGATGTACTCACAACAACAGCTTGACAATGATATATTCACAACAATACCAGCTTGACAATGATATATTCACAACAATACCAGCCTGACAATGATGTATTCACAATACTGATTTGACAAGGATATACTCACAACAATACCAGCTTGACAATGATGTACTCAAAGCGATACTAGCTTGACAGTTATGTATCCACAACAATATCCAATTTTAATAACATGCGATAGTTATAATATGCTTCACATCAATGTGTTTTGTGGTGTTTAGTCCTCTTCTAAGAAGTAAAATACAAGTTTTTTATCTATATTTATACTTACAAACTAGACTTAAGAACAACATAAAAGTGAATTCCTACGTTTAAATATTTGAAGAGTATGACGACTGAAGTTTAGATAACGAAAAAGCAGGATATTAAAGTACAAACTTGATAAGGGTTTCAGGGTTTGAAGGTACACCAACATGAAAAAAAATGAGTTTCTTTGAGTATAAACATAGTTAGGTTTTTAGAATTTGAGGAAATGCCAACATAGTGAAAAAACAGGATCTTAGTGTACATACTAGGGTAGGTTCTTAAGTCTATGTATATGCCAACATGATATAACAAAAACATTCCTAGTGAACAATCACAAAAAGAATGTAGTGTGTTTTTCTCCAACTTGTGCTTCTTCATTTTTTAGTATGTGGATATACACAAATCTGGCCGACATGATTCTCACCCTGCTGATTCCAGTTATCCTGATCGTATCGATGAATTTCATGATTAGTTATGTTCTGTACACGTTTCGTGTTGATCACAAGGAAGTTAAAGATCCAAATTTTCGGCAGTCTTTTTCCCTTCAGAAAACAAGTAAGCTTATTTAATAAATCTCGTGTTAATAGTATCAGTGAAGCTGCTACAAATATATTGCAAGGAAAATGCAAGTTCAGTATATCTATATACAACTAAAACTCTGAGATTGTTTGTTTGTGGGCTTGTCTGTAATTAAATACAGCAAAAACGGCGCATAGTAACGCCATATTTGTAATGAAATAAAAATAGAAATGAGAATATAAACAGAATAAAATAAGTTTCGTTAAAATCGGATAACGGATTACCGAGTTAGCCCCGTTTTTCGGTTCACTTTTATGAAAATGTCTAGATTAATTTAGGTACACTAGATGGCGCTACATATCGGTTTATCTATCTATCTATTCGTTTTCTACCTGACGAATCACTTTAAAATATCTTCTATACAATAATATATGCACAACAGAAATTAAATGATGAGATGAAAGTGTGTTATAACGGCGCGTAGAAAGAACAACAATAAAATGGACCTACAATATTATTGACTACTTGCAAATAGTAACTATGGAAACGAGGTAATGAAATAAAAATTAAGT